ATAATAATAATAATAATAATCTGCAGTTTGCTGCTCAGCCAAACTGCACGTCGGGGAAAACAAACCCAGAGTCCAGAAGTGAACATGTCTTTGAGCAGGACCTGCCCTACCTTTTCTCCTGCTGCCGACGTCAGAGGGCGCGGACATTTTGTACGCCGCGTCAATCGACCAAGACCGGAAGTTAGGAGACCAAACTGTCAAATTAAAAGTCTGAGATCAATCAGTGTAAGTCGCTTCTACATTTTGTTAGCGGAAAGAAATTATTCAGTTGAGCAGAATATTCCATAGTTAGAGTTCAAGTAAAATTATATTTAATAAAAACAAGGTAAACACTTGATTTTTATAATTAAAGTATTAAATACTGTATAATGTTTTCTTATGGAAATTAAATACATTATAGAAGAACTGCTTACTCATCCTATGTCACCTATTTTTATGACATAAAAAGTCAAGCTTAAATGTATTAATTGCACACATATTTTCTGTAGCATGCTTGTTTTTTCTGGTGTAGAAAACGGCCCAGCATAGAGACAAAGACAAACAAACATGTTCGCACTCAGACCTAGGGTCAATTTTATAATCTTTAATTAACTCAACCAATACTTCTGGATTATAAAAGGAAGAAGGAGGACCCAGTGTGTGAGCTNCCCGCCCCTCTCTGACCACTGGAAGGCCTCACAAAGCCAACATAAAATCAAACCCATTTCTGTTTTTACCCGCGTCCCCTTTGTGTTACATTGACTGATAGTTTACCTTGTTTTTTTTGAGATGTGTAAATTATTCATAGCCTTCCAAGTTTTGCATTTCTGTTCAAATGATTCTTTGATCAAAAGTTTTATTTCAGTTTTTCTTTTGTACATGCTGTTGTAAGAACTTTTTTTGTTATTGATATCTTCTGAAAACTGGGAGGGAAAAAATGATTTGCTGATGGAAAAGAGAATGTCTGTTTCTCATTCTTTGTTTTCTACACAAATTCTAATAAAAATGTATGCAATCATTTGTTTTTATTTGGGTTGTATTTTAACTACAGAAGTTGCCAKATTTCATTGTGTACAGATTATAAACCTGCACCGGTGTGCAAATACAATACATATACAGATGTTTTGATATCACTCCATATTTGGCCAAATAATTTAAAATTTWGTCTGGAAAAGTCCAGCGTGTCAAAATTGAAACATTAAATAAATATAAGATTTATCAGACGCCACTGGGTTAAATATAAGTACATCAAAATATTTGCTGTATAAATATACAGTATCTAGCCTACTATCTTTCTTAATTTAGAACTGCAGCACTGGCATCAACACAAAACCATACTTGGGAATAAATTGAGCAAACATTTTTGCTTCTTCCCCAAAACATTAGCTTTAAAGGTAACCATTAAGTCTCTAGATGAATGCGTTAAATAAATAGAGCTAAAATGTAAATAAGTAACAAGAGAAACCTCAAAATGTGGCTAATTTGCTATTTAACGCAGTTCAAAGGTGAAACAGCAGGTGGCAGCAAAATCCCTTCGAGATTATTTCTACCGTAAATAGAAAAACGAAGAAGAATTGGGTGACGTCATTGTTTACGACAGCTGAATGTTGCTGTTCTGCTGCTGCATCTTTTGCGGTTTTTAACCTTCAAGCTTGCATTTTGCCCAAAGAATGTTAAAGGATAATGCTGTGCYGGTCTAATAAAACAATGGTACTACACAATTAAGGTAAGTTGCTTTTGCTCTTAAACGTAATGCTGGGAACAATTAGATTAGCTAGCTGTGCTACCACACTGCTAATGTTTATGTTGTGTTACAGTCCTCTCTGATAGTAATTCACACTAATTTTGAGATACTTCAGTATTTTTTTTCCTTTATAGCTCTTTTATGCGTGGTTTTAAAATTGTGTATATGTGTTTGTTAAAGCATCAAAGAGACCCAGTCCCCTGTTTGTTTCTGTTTGACTGATATGTAGGTACGCAGGCAGGCGGGCAAGTCTTCATCTAGGAGGAGGAGGAGGTCTCCTTACAAGATGGCTACTGAACTTCACGAGACCATATTTATGGCCAAGCAGGAGCGCCATAAAAACCTGTTCCTGAACTACAAAAACCTGAACATTTTCCCCGTGGAGCTCCTGAAAGATGAAGGACTGCAGTTTCTGGAGAGATTATACATGAAGAGAAACTCACTCACTACACTGGTATTCTCCCAGAGCACAGCTGYTTTTATTGTGCTGGACACGACTACACATATTTTATACGTGACTCATCTTATTGGAATTTATTTTCTGTGGTAACACAAAATATTTGTTTTTGTTTTTTGTCTTTTATCAGCCTGACAATCTTGCCCAGAAGCTCCCAAATCTTATTGAACTGTAAGTAATCAGTTTAGCTGTTTTTATTATTGTTTTTAGAGGATGAATACGACTTCTAAAAGTCAGCTTGTTGGTATATTCAAATAATAACTCGTGATTTATTTATTTATTTGTTTGTTCAAGGTACTTGCACTCAAACAACATAGTCATTATTCCTGAAGGTGAGTCTATAATAATGCCATTGAATCACATCAGTACTGAATGTAGATATGATTAGTTCACTTGTTTGAAATTAAAGTAAGTGATTGATTTGATTTGCAGCTATTGGAAACTTGGCCAGACTGCAGTCATTAGACCTGAGCAATAACGCCCTCCAGCTCCTCTGTCCTGAGATTGGCCGACTGAGGTCTTTACGACACCTGAGACTGTCCAATAATCAACTTAAATGCCTTCCTCCAGGTAAATTAATGTTTCCACTACAGGTACATACTGTATACAAAAATGGTGTAAAGATATTTGAAATATTTGCTTTGCTTTCAAGCAGCCAGCCTTTCTTCTAAACTTAAAATTTTGAATATTTCTTGATGCGTTTTAAAGGTTTCCCTGAATTTACATTGAACATTCACTGCTTTTATTCTACTTTTGCCCAGTCCTTGTGCCTGACGGTGAGGAACAGAGCCGTGTGAAGGATGAGATAAAAGGTGTCGGATTAAAACAAAAAAATTGACAGCATGTGTAACTTTTGAGAGTCATGTTTTCAAGAAAAAAATTAAAATTCATCAAGTTAGTCCGGGGTTTTCACAGTGCCCGTCTCGTGTCATTGGAAATAAAAATCTTGTGGCCATGAGATAAATAACGCGTGGTCATAAGGTCATTTTTGAACGTGTTGCTTTGTGAGAGATACAGACATTGTTGGAGTCACATTTTGAATATGTTAAGTAGTAATATGTTGTTTTTGTTTTGAACTCAAAGGTAGCCTATCACACCTATTATTATTATTTTATTTTATTTTTTATGTTCATGTTAATACAAAAGGTTAATCTTTTATAGTAGGCTATTTATGAGATGACAGTGACCAGTCTGGTATGTATCAGGAAACTTTTTTTTTTTGCTGTCTTCCTTAACACAACACAACTCCGACTCTTTCTGCAGACAAGGCACGGTGTGAGAGAGGAGCCTGTTTTGAGTGTTGAGCTTCAGAAAAAAATAAATGAAAGCTTTTTGGACAAAGACACGTCCAGTTCTCACGTGTCTTATAGCTGCAACATATAATGCTAAGAATTACTTCATACCTATCGTAAGTGAAGTGAATTAATTGAAACTTGTGCATGTTAACAGTAAACAGTCTCTGCGTGGAAATGACTGCAATAATTATCTCGTGGCCGCAAGATGAACYTTTTTTATCCAATGTCGTCAGACAGGCTTCTCAAAGACCATCATTTAGGGATGTTAAACGTTTTGTTGSCCAGCAGGGGGCAGCAGAGGTCTTCAGACAAATAAATAATTACCTACATGTTGAAAATCCAGATGTTTGTTCGAACCTATAATACTTTGTATTTATATTACAGTTTGACATTTTAAAATCAGGGTTATGTGTACATAATTTATAAATGTTCTGGCATATTGTTCAATATTAGGTGTGTCTGTGTCAGATTGTTTACCTTTTGAAGGTTTTACCTTTTCTTTTCTGTTTCATCTTCATTTGAAAATATTGACTTGTTTCAGGCTAAATATTATATTCTTCTTTTATTTTTTTTAATCTAGGGATGTGTTTAAAGGGATTAAAGATTTCAGAGAGCTGCTTTTATAACCATATCATACTTGTATTTGTGAATTAGTGATCCTTTAAAAAAAATCTGATAAAAATAAATGCAAGTTTTGCAGATATTTCACTGACTAATTTCTCCCCGCCTCCTGTAGAGCTCGGTGACCTGCGGGACTTGGAGACGCTTGACGTGGCCATGAATCAGCTGATGTCACTACCAGACCGCCTGCACCGGTGCCTGTCCTTACAGAACCTGACCGTGGACCACAACCTGCTGAGCCACGTTCCCCGGCAGCTGTGCTGGCTGCACCGCCTCAACCAGCTCTCCATGGCGGCCAACAGGCTGGCCTTCCTTCCACTCGGTCCGCCCACTTCTCTCTCGCTGCTGCGTCGCAGCTCAGATGGGCGGGGCGGTCTTTTGACGACCCGTGTGTTTGTGTGCGTTTCAGATCTGGGCAGGTCATGGGAGCTGCAGTTTGTGTTTGTGGACAACAACGTGAACCTGAAGGGCCTCCCCTCCTACCTGTACAACAAGGTCATCGGCTGCAGCGGGTAACCTCACAYCTGCTACACCATTTGTTTTGTTACACGGTCATGTTGTGTTTTACTGGACTTTGTGTGTTGTTGTTTCTGCACAGATGTGGCGTCTCTTCCTATGTGCTGGAGCGGGACATGGGGGAAGCACTGCGTGAGGCTCTGGTGGGTCTTCCGGCGGAGGTGAAGGTGGTCGGCTCACAGGCGGACAGCGTGGTTCCTCTGGAGGAGCTGGCCATGAGGACTCTGCACCGCCTCCACCACCACCGTCCAGCAGGCAAGAACATCATCACTAGACATGTAGAGCATAACCAGAGCTGTAAAGTAACTAAGTACAAATACTTTGTTACTGTACTTAAGTAGAATTTTTGGCTATCTATACTTTACTTGAATAATTATTTTTCAGCCTGCTTTTTACATCTACTCCTTACACATACAGTTATCTGTACTGTCTATTCCTTACATTAAAAAAAGACAAGAAGTAGAAAGTCYTTACTTTTATTTCATCTTTCCTTGTTTTCATTCTAGCTTATTGTAAAAAAGAAATACTGTCCATATAAACTGTGCCTCTTAGAGTGAATTTAATTGTGGTTGAATGAGAATTATAAATGTATAAAATTCTGATACTATATTAGTTTGTACACAAACAAATCACGTCACATTCCAGCAGGACATAATCGTTACAATAAAAGTACTGTACTTCAGAAGTATTTGTATTTCATGAATTATATTATTGCATTTGGCTGCAGCCCTCAGATTTTCATTTTGGGGAAAAGGTTTGAGCAGCCTTGATATATGTATATAAACTGAAACAGCTAGACTGGTGCATCCTAAATTTAACAGAAATTAATTATTTTAATACAATATAGTCATTTCTTCATTTTTGGGGAGGTCAACTCCTAATAAATGTCCTRACAGAAAATCTAACTGCTCATTTTAAATCAATAATTTTACTTTTAATACTTAAGTACAAAAATATCAGATACTTTAAGACTTTTACTCAAGTAATATTCCTAAWGGAGACTTTAACTTTTACCAAAGTCATTTTTTGGTAAAATACTTCTACTTTTACTCAGTATCACTTTGTGGTGCTTTATACAACACTGAGCATAACAAACAAAAATCTTTGGCTACATAATTTCTCCCTTTTGGCCTTTCAGGCCTGAACCTGCTGCCTCCCATCAGCCTCCCAAAGAGCCTGCTGGACCTGCTGCAGTTCCCTGTGGGACACTGCCACCGGTGCAGCCAGGCCATGTTCACCATCATCTACCCCAAACTGTTCCCCCTGCGGGACACAGCCCTGGCAGGAGTGCACCGCAGGTCAGACCCTACAGCTCCGTGTTTACCTTCTCTTATAACACGACACACTTATTTTTTTTTTTTAACATTTCTCTTCTGTTTTCTGCAGAACCACTGTGAGTTTTGTGGCCTATTGCTGCTCCAGTCACTGCCTCCGCACCTTCGACCTGCAGGGGTGACGCAGTTCATCCACCCGAGCTCACGAGGGGGACAGACCTCCTCCTGTCGTTAATCAGCGGGTCGAGGCGTGGATGTTGTGTCAGGGTTTCTCCCCCCTGACCTGAAGAACCACACAGCCATCCGGCTGTTTGTCGGGTGGCTGCTCCTCGCGGCGTTTTCTAAACCTAACCAACAGGAAGTTCTTGTGTGATTGTGTGGCATTTTAAAACCATTCTGAGTGACCGGTGCAGCACTGTGCTCGACCGCGAACAGTCTGTCGGACCTGAGGTCACTACAAGAGAGCACTTTTAGACGCAAACACTTGGATTTGTGCGCATTTACGGAGCACAAGGCACATCCTTTTTTGCTTGTGGGGTGATTAATGAAGTATGTTTGTACGTAGTGTGAGCTATTTTACTGATTACTGAAGATTTGTTATTTAAACGTGTGAATTTGGTGTATTATTTACAGCTGTAGGTGCAGAAAATTGTTACGTTAACCGCCCAATGCTGTACTTACAATAGAGGAGTAAACAAATGGACAATTTAGAAATGTGTTTCCAGAATTAAAGATCCACTTTCATGTGTGTCGCAAAGCYAACTTTATTTCCTTTGAAGGTGTAAACTTTAACCGATTCTACATTCGTCTTTTTTGTCATTACAAGCCTTGAAATAACTCACTGTGTAAAACTTACACGGCCCCAAAAGGCAAGTTGTTTAAGTGCACAAAAATCTATATTTGTTGTTTAATCATCCACAGACTCACATCGCTTTCTGTCTTTGTCTGAAGAAAAACCTGTTCTCTGTTGTCTTCCGTGCMCCTTGTGAAGTTCTTACCCGTCCGTTGTCATTAAATGTCTGACGTTTGAAATCTGTGCCAGAGTTCTTGAATGAAGGAGACCGACTTAAACTTACAGCCTCACAGAGAGTTTTTAAATGAGTTTAAAGATCATTTAAAGTTTTTTTGGCACGGTTATTGATTGAGGCACGAGAACGCTTTGTTGTGATGTTGTCGACACAAAAAAAAAAAGGAGCGTGAAGCTCAAGGCAGAGTTTCTCCCATCACCTGCGTCGGTGGTGTGCTCAGACAGATCGGACCATGGTCCTCTGGCTGCCGCCTCAGCTCTCTGACCTCCRCGTCCTGCACGCTCAGGTGAAGCAAAAAAGCTGAAAATGTCCTCCACCCAGCGCAGCTTTGAGACCAACACACTGTTACGGTTTGATTTTTACAGGAAAGGCAGACGAAGAGGCAGGAAATGGCGTCTTAACTGTGATTTCTCTTTCTCTGGATGGCTTTAATTTGACCTCCAGTTCTAATGTGAAGAAGAAAGGATAGAAGAGATCATATTTCCACAGTTTTAGCTTCTCTATTGTCAGAATCAGAAGAGAAAATTAAAATCAAACATTATGTAATCAATGACGTTATAGTAGTTTTAGTTGCTTTAACATGTGGAAGACAGGACCGATCATCACGTGTAGAAAWCAGGTCAACCACAGCAACTGAAAGCAGAGATGTGTAGAAGGACAAATCTATATCTGGGCCAAGTGTTGGGAGTGCATGTGGGCCAGACAAATTTTGCTATGTGGGTAAAGACACCATCTGATGATCTAAAATATCAGATAACCTTCCTAACTTACTTTTATCAAAGTTCTAACAAGTACATTTTCAGAAATAATCATTTTAATTCTAATTATTTGGCTTTCCCTGAAATAAAAAATACCTTTAAGTACTGCAGTCCTGGAAAACCCCTTGTCATTATGTTTGTCTCATTGTGAAGCTTTAGGTATTCCCCTTTTCCCACTTGGAAATTCCCAATGACATCATTCTAAACAAATGACATCATTGTAAACCAATAAAAAAAGTCAATATTTCAAACTGTTACTCCTGTAAACAAAACTAACTTGTTGCCAGGCCAGGTGATAATTCAACAAACCCTTCAGCTTCTGGGATGGAGAATTAAAAAAAAAAACTTAAAATGGAAAATGTCCTCATTGTGACTCATTTCACCAGAATGGGTGAGATGTTTTGAGAAAAAAAATGATAATAAAGTTTTAAAATGATGTTAAAATATACAGTGCAGTGTATGTGTGTCAGAATCGTGAGGGTTTGCTGAATCTGGGGAAGAAATTAAGTTGCTGACAGACAGCACTCAGTTATATTTTATGTTGCGCAGACAAACAGCCTGAGTGCATAAATAAAAGTCCAAATGTAAACCGTTTCTGCACCTATAAATTCGCACTCACCTGCTGATACCTTAAAAGCTTTTTGCAATGTGTTGATTTAAGGCTTAAATCAACACATTGCAAAAAACTTTTACTCACTTATTGAGAGGTTAATAAAAAACAATGAAAAAGCACAGTCTGCAGTCTTTATTGAGGGTCGGCCTGCTGTTAGTTTGCTGTTAGTCTTCCTCCCAACAAACGTGTCTTTTTCTGTCAGTCTCCACACAGATGAATGTGGAAAACAAAGTGTCCCCTGTGGGAGCTGTTTAAGATGCATGTYTCTGTTGACGTAAAGTCAGACTCTCCAGGGGCAAACAGCTGTGCACTGTAAGAGAAATCACAAAGACACAGCTGAAACATTTACAGCATCACATATTTACCTGTTTTAAACAAACGCGCAGCAGATTAATTTGATCACTTGTCTTGATTAAGTAGGACACATGGATGCTTCTTTGTTCATGAGGCCTCTGGCTGTTGGGAAAAACAGCACATTTCTCTGACTGGGTGTAAAAGAGAAGAGAAGAGCGCACAGACTGAGCAAGATGTTCAAACTGCTCTTCTTTTTAAATGTCATCCTCAGCTGCTGTGTGTGTGTGTGTGTGTGTGTGTGTGTGTGTGTGTGTGTGTGTGTGTGTG